TTAAATAAAGAAAATTAGAGAAATGAGGCATGGAGAAGACAATAACCAGATATTTTTGCTTGGGGGTTGCTGAAGATATTGAAAAATTACCAGCAGGTCTCCTTTGTTGCTTATACAAAGAACTCATCTTTTTATTGAATATAGATATCCTGCTTGAGATAAGGTCCAAATAAAAAAAAAAAAACGAGAAAAATAAATTAAAAAAACAATTTCTTCATTAATTCACTGTGGAATAGCAAAACTCAAACACTATTCACATAACAGACAGAGGGTAATTGCATCGGTGGAGCTTGCTCTGGCAACTTGTTAATTAACGTTCAACTATAATTAACTACAAACTTAACACTTGTATGACTTGCTGTGCTGCAGGCCCCTGGCTTTTCAGTTCTGATGAAATTGCTGTGATTGGGCAAAAAGGCAGCGAGAGCAGCCATCTACATCCTAATAATAGATGACAGGCTTAATTATTAATATTCTTCAAGTAACCCCTTCAACTGCTTTGTGTTTAAGCACCTTTCTCACAGAAGAGTTGTAACATAAGCATAGTCCCTATATCCCAAATGAGTATCTTCCCCTAATTTGGCAACCGGGCAGGTGTCAATAATTGCCTCTCAATTACTTTTGGGCAGTATGCCATAGTTTTATAACAAACATTTGATGAGATGGCTTATTTTTATCCATTTTCCGTAGTGCAGAGAGAGGCCTTATATATCCTGAGGGTACAGTCTCACTCTAAGCGAAATGCGGTCAATAGAAAGGTCCATTGACTTGCTCAGCATTATGAGCTCTATAAAACAGAGCAGTTTGTTGGCTTTTTGCATTTGTACACAAAATTTTCACATAAATATAAATAAAGTATATCATGTGTGTCCCTTACTTTGCTCACATGTGGCTACTCCTATTATCCTCTATAGAAATGTTCCTTACTGGGTTTTTTCAGAAAAAAATAAATAAAACCAGAAACAGTCAATAGGAGAGCGACATATACCGCAAATTCCTGAGGTATACCGTTTTAGCTTTTTCCTACAGAAAATATATAATGCACAAAACTTGGAAAAAGTAGGGTTGCTGCTTTCTTTGAAAAAAATATTTGCCGTGGTAATTTGCATAATTAATAATGCATAATTAATTATAAATGCATGACATCACAGTAAGTGACATCAAAGGGTATGACATCACAGGAACTGACATAGGAGAAAACATAAAATACATGAAAGGGAATTATACCCTAAATCCCTAAGAGAACTACTTAAAGTTTATTTAAATTTTTCTTCACCCCCCTCTAATGTATGCGTATGTGTGTAGAAGCTCATGGGACACATAAGCCAGACATTCTGGCCTGTATACAATCTAAGGCTTGACCTGGGTTGCTTAAGTCAAAATTATTTGTGATGAAGAGCTGGATTTGTAAGGAACTATGGAATATATAGTTCACTGTTGTACTGCATATACACTGTTGTACTGCAAACCTAGAACTGATAGTTCTAGAATTGCAAAAAAAGAAAATTCTAATTCATTCATTGTAATTATTAATTAATCAATTAATAATTGCAATAATAGATTACAATATACAAACTATTTATTTATTCCAGTTAATGAGATTTCATAGTGCTCTGCAACAAAGAAGAAGTAAGAACCCCTAGGCACATTAACAGTTTGGGAGCCAGTCTTCTGCTACAAATTGGGATGTGAATAGAATTAATCTATTTCATGATTCTGTGCCCTTGCCTAACCCCCTGGGCCCTAGGTGGCTGCCTAAGGTTAACACATGGTTAATGCTACTTTGCTTTGCACTAATAATATGAATCACGATCCACCAAAAAACAGCACATTTTCAAAGTCACTCATTTTAATAAATAACTTTTTTCTTCTCTAACAATCATTTCTATTACTATTTGATCTGTTCCATCACCTCCGTCACCTCCTTATTCGTCTACTCCACATTTGTATCATCCATGTTCTCCCTCTTAGATATCAGATTTAAAGCTAAAACAGGGATTTGTACTATGTAGCACACAAAGTCTTCTTCAAAAATAAGTGCTTGAATAAGGAGACGGAGGTCCAATGCATTGTGGTCAAGTTACGACGCCGATGACTCAACCATTGGTATCACTGGCCTGACCCCTGTTACCCCACCCAGACCCTATTTACGGAATGCCAATGTTGGGGGGTATGCATTTAGCTAATATTTAATATAAATTAAAACAGAGCATCTACTGAAAAAGATTAACACAATTTGTTAACACAGAATTTTTTGTCATTGTTGTAATTGACAGAAACGTACATTCCTGTGATACAGCAGTCAGCAATTTGACAGGGTGCCATATATCATTTTACATTAATATTTATTCATTCTTAAGTGTCCCTTTGCTATCCCTTTGCTATCTTAACATTTTATTCTGCAATATGTCTCAAAGTCATCTAGCACCAAAGAGGTCAAAACCAATCAAGCTATAATCCTAATTCAGTTCTGTTGAATTTTGATCTCCCATCAATTTGCTTTTATGTGAGTCATTGTGATAATGTGTCTAGGAAATAAGGACAAATCTGCCCAGATGTGTCCTAATAATCCCAGATCCTGACAGTTACTGCAGCAGAGACGATAGTAAGACTGATACCCAGGAAATCACCTTATCGCTTTCTGCCTGGCTCCATGTCCTTAAAATGGCTAATAGGATTACTGTTCCTCTCTGCATTTAGAAGGCTGTCACAGATACAGCTTCTGCTATTACACGGATACACAGATGTTGACAGCAGATACAATCAGGGACCTACCTAAATGCACAATGCTGTACAACAGTGATTCCTAGTTACCATTTTAAAAGGAATTTGACATACAAGAGAAGAAGTACAGGCTTATAATATAAAATAACTTAAAGAAAGCCACGTAGATCAGTGGTTATAGTAAGGGTAAGCATAAGAAAAGGGCCACTACAAAATTGTAAGAGTGGTTATATAGTTACATTTTAATTAAGGTCGAAAAGCCTGACGTCACTTAACCTCTTGTATGGTAAATCATTACATAATTATATATTTTGTAGATACATAGCTGAGAGTATCAGTAGAAAGAATTATTGGAAAATCTGTAATTGGAGGTATTCTTTCGGTCTACTATTGAGAATGGAAGAACAGCTTCATTAACAGAATTTTAGTAGACTTGGTGGCTAACAATGAAACACTTACCCCGTCCCCCCCTTGTTTAATATCTCTGGAACCAGGCTAAGTGTACAATACCCTCTGGAGCTTTTTGCCCAATCTACACAATTATCTTACATGTTTTATGTAATACTTGCTTGATGTAATGCATATTTTATTTTATACATTTATGTTGATGGTAAAAAAAAATATCTTCCCTATGGTTTCCACCTGCCCCTTTATCCTCACTAGAAATTTCAATAATTTTACAAAGTAGAAAAATGTTGTAATGATACATCCTTACTCATCTTCCCCATGTCAGATAATGTTTGCAGTGAGAAAATATTAGCATTCCAGGCAGGGTCAATTCAAAACCCATGTCCCACATTTACATGCTTTAATTTCAATATTGCTTAATGGGTGGTTAAACAATACACATAAAGATGGATCAATTGTTATAAACACTTTTTTATAACGAGTAAAAAAAATCCAAACATTTTTAAAGTCTGTTTTAGTTAATGAAGAAAAGTAAATGTCCTTTATGGCTGACTAACAAACATTTATCTTCTTTTAAATAAAATAAAAAAAGTAGTGTGTTGCGCTCGCTTATGAGTTAAAGAACAGCTGGCTGCATTTAGGGGTGACTATTGGAGCAACATACCCTTATGTAACCAACGACACAGGGTGCTTTGCACTTATTTCAATGTAATTAGCAATAGCTATTTTGCCGCTGCAACATTTGCTCGCGTGAACTTCAATTCAATCAGCAGTATCCAACTTCTATCCCAGAGGACTCTGAAAGACCAGCTTTCAGTGAAATGTACACTTCAAGAATTTGCTTAATGATGTAAAGAACAAAGTTAATCAGTTAAATATGTTAACAAAATCCCATAATTCTAACCAGTCTGCAACCACTGAACTGTGCACTCTTGCATTTAGACCATGGATGAGCAAAGTTATCCTCGTAGTGCAGATCCTGGGTAACATTTAAAATTGAAGAATAATTAATACTTAAAGGGACACTATAGTCACCAGAACAACTACAGCTTATTAAATTTGTTCTGGTGAGTAGAATCATTACCTTCAGGCTTTTTGCTGTAAACACTGTCTTTCAGAGAAAATGCAGTGTTTACATTACATCCTAATGATAACTTCACTGGCCACTCCCTAGATGGCTGTTAGAGATCCTTCCTGGGTCATTGCTGCCTAAAATGTATCCAAACATTCAGTGTCTCCTCCCTCTGCATGCAGACACTGAACTTTCCTCATAGAGATTAATTGATTCAATTCATCTCTATGAGGAGATGCTGATTGGCCATGGCTGTGTTTGAATTGTGCTGGCTCTGCCCCTGATCTGCTTCTTTGTCAGTCTCAGCCAATCCTATCGGGAAGCATTGTAATTGG